CTTCATGGAAGCCCCCCCCCACACACACACACCTTTCCCTCTTCCAGAAAGGTGGTTCTAGCCCTTTCTCACCTGAACAGACTCAGATTTTTCTTTGCTTTGTAGGAATCCACTCCAGTCCTTGGGCAGTCCTGGTCTAGTCCCCACACCGCCATGACCCTCCCTGCTTTGGGCAAGTCACATGCTCTCATCCTAACCTACCTCACAGGATCATGGTAGTGAAGAGAATATGGATAGGAGGAGAACCTTGTAAACCACTCTGACCTCTTTCCAAAAAGAAGACCAGTGGGGTATAAATGTACCAACGCACAACATGCTGCGACTACTGCTTCTGTCCATCTTCACATGGGGCCATTCCACTGAGTGTGAAGTTGCCACTCCGGTAGACATCTTCGTTTTCCCTCAGGCTATTCCAGGTCTCAAGCTTCTGGGCAAGGATACCATGTAAAGGATTACTGTGGCTCAGAGTCATTCCTTCCAAAATTAGCTCACAGTCTCCCAAAATGCTGGAAACATTTGGCCTATTCTTGGCCTTTAGGACGTGAGCTACCAGATCCATCCAGAGAAGATTTGGATGACTACCTTTCATTTTGCGTAGAAGAGAAAAACCTCCCGTTATCGAATGCTTCCTCATCTTCATTGCTTCACTCACAATGGAAGCACCTCCGATAGACTTCCACAAGAAACCATGCCGCTGGTGTTCTCCAAGCCTGAAAGCCCAAAACTCACTTACCAGTATTTCCCTCTCTAAGTGGGCATTTCCTGGGCTAGCAGAGCATCCTGGAACAACCTCTTCGAGGGACTCCTTTTCACCTTTTTTTTTTTTCACATGGCAGACACAACTCCTTTAGCTTGGGCAAGTTGCTGAGATCTGTGTAGGATAAATAGAACGTTGTCTCAGTGGGAAAAATCCTCCGCATCAATCCAAGCAAAACCCTGGCAGTTGGGAAACCCTCCAGGAATTCTTGTTGCATTTCGACAATCTGCCCAGATTGTTGTGGGGAAAACACAGTTGTCTTTTATATTAACAAACAAGGAAGTGAACGCTCTTCCCTTCTTATAGCTCACCTTGAGCTTCTGGGATGCATGCATCCCCCACCTGTCTCCTTGCTAGGTTCACTCAGAAAACTGAAGACTACCTCTGATGAGGGGATCCTAGGTCAAATCAAGATACTGAAGATGAAACGTGAATACTTTGACCACCAACTGAGAAGGAAGGACTCACTGGAGAAGACCCCAGTGCTGGGAACAATTGACGGCAAAGGAAGAAGGGGACGGCAGAGGATGAGGTGGCTGGATGGAGTCCCTGAAGCAGGCGGGGTGAGCTTGGGTGGACTCCGGGGATGGTGGAGGACAGGAAGGCCTGGAGGAGTGTTGTCCATGGATTGTGAAGGGTCGGGCACGACTTCGCGACTAATCAGAATCAAAGGTCAAAACAAGCCAGAGCTTTCCCTAGAAGCACAAATGACAAAACCGAAGACTGTCCAACTTTGGATACATCATCAGAAGGCAAGACTCCCTGGAGGAGACCATCGTGGCTCGGGAAAGTTGAAGAAGAGGAAGACCACGCGAGCGACGGATGGACTCCATCAAGGAAGCCACAGCCTTGAACTTGGAAGAGCTGAACGACGCTGTCTTGGACTGGATGTTTTGGAGGGCTTTCATACGTAGGATCGCTGTAGCTCAGAGTCAGCACAAAACAACAGCAGGACCTCCGATGAGGGGAAATGGCCTCCAAGGATCTTGTCCCACCAGTGATGCCTTGGTCACGGCCCCGGATGTCCAGGAGCATTGCTTCGGCAGCATGATGTGGACAAACTCCTCGGCCGGGCAGGTGGCCTCTCCTTCCCTCCTGCATTGTGAGCAAATGGCAGGACATCCGTGCCAGCTGCTGTGGTGGCCAGGGCTGCTGCTCCTAGCCGGCCCCCGTTTTTGCATGCACCTTCTGGAAACCCTGCATCTCGGCGCAAGGAGGGTGGTGTGCTTAGCCAATGCTCTGTGGAGGCAATGACTGCGTCTCCCAAACGGTTTGGGCCTCATACACCGCAAAAGAGAGGGCATTCTCAGTCTGTCTTGCCCCGTGGGGTAGAATAGGAAATCGTGTGGCCTCCCTCATCTTCTGTCTTTGAAAGCTAAGGGTCAAATACTGTCGTCTGTTAAGGTAGAGAGCGCTGCACTGTTGGGTCATTGTGTTGAGAGAGAGAGAGCTATTATGTTGAGTCATCATGATGAGAGAGAAAGAGAGAGAGCGCTATTCTGTCGACTTAAACTCAGCCATTAAACGTTTTCATAAAGGTCTTTTCGCCCATGATTCAACAGGTCTCTGCACTGGGCAGAGCCTTTGTGGGTGATTCATGTGCAGCTGACGGCAAGACCTTTTGAGCCGGTGGCTGGCTCCTCATGATCTGGGCCTCCGTCTTGGCGTGCGCACATCCTCCCATCCCAGGCCTGTCTCCCTGCTGGAGGTCAACCCTCATTTCTTAGAAGTTAGCGACATCTTATTTTTACACTTAGGCAGAACAGTTTTGTTCGGAGCATCCTGCTAGCAGCTCATCTGTCTCTTTGGCCCCCAAGAGGGACACTCCATGTCTGCCCGGAGCTTTGCCAAGTGGGTTGGATGGTGTCCCCCCCGCCCCACAAGCATAAGGGCCGCTCTCCCCCTGCAGCCTCTTTCCTCTACCACACCTTGTTTTGTCCACATCCTTATAATTCAGGCCTGGCCTCTCCTCTTCTGGTGAGCCTCTGGCCTTTTGGTAAGCCAGATGTGAGTCATGGAGGCCACAAAGGTACAGAGCACAGGTGTTGCCGTACCTGTGGTCACCTGTGACCCTGCTCCTGGTTCGCTGCCTCTCTTGCTGTTATTCCTCTCCTGTGCCTGGCAGACCTTATGGGAGCTGTATCTGGAGCATGTGCAAAGGAGAAAGAAGGCATCCCAGCTCTACAACCTTGGAAATGGCTGTTTTGTGTTTGCACATATCCTGGTTCAGTTGGAGAACCATGGTTGACGTTGAGCACACCTGCTTTTTCGTTGTGCTGCCGCATCGGTAGCCAGCTTGTGGGGCTCTAGAAGTTTATCACCTGTCCATGGGTCTGCCCTATAGGGCCAACACTGTAAATCCTAACACTTGGCAGATATACTTAGGGGGACCCTCGGAGTGGACCCTTTGTACCTAGTTTGCCTTTGAAACCTGTGAATAGATTTTAATTAATTAAAATGTGTTCAGCCTGCAGTAATATTTTCAACCCTCAGGGGCTGACTTCTTTAGCCAATGTTTATTTTCATGCTCCATACAGTTCAGTTTTATTTTGTTAATTTAGTTATTTTTACATATATATGCTGCCAAAGAGCTCAGATGAGCTCCCTGGGCAGTGGACAGCAATTCAATTGGAGCCAACAATTTAACTACAGTTAAAAAATAACCAATTAATAACAATATGAACAGAGACCTGGTGAAAAAGACAGCCCAATAATCATGAAGATGCAATAAAGTGAAGGCATCTAAAAGACATTATTAAAATCAGTTATTAAAATGGGTGGAGAAGAGATACGTTTTTGACTGACACCGAAATGAGAGCAAAGTTGGCATCAGGTGAGCATCTCTGTGGAGCCAATTTCACAGGTGGGGGCAACCACCAAAAAGCCCCTTCTTCTATTTACCACCCCTCTTGCCTCCTCGAGGGATGGCTCATTTAGCTGGGCCTCTTGACCAGATCTTAATGTTGGGACAGGCATATATGGGTGAAGGTGGTCCTTCAGGAAGCCGGGTGTTGAGCTGTTTAGGGCTTTGTGGGTTAAAACAAGCAGGGTGAGGGGCAGCATTACAGGCCTTCCCTGCTTCCCTCCCATGGGGCAGCCACCCCTAGAGGAGTAGCTTGAGCGGGCCCCTCCCTTGGGCCCTGTGCGAGGGCAGCGGCTGTGCCTGGAGATGCTGGGGAGCATGGTTCCACCCAGATGGGGCAAGCCAGCGTGACAGCGCGGGAAGGCCTTCCGGCCTCTGCCAAGCCAGGCTTTCTGGCTGCCGTGTTGATGAAGAAACACACTGTCCGGAAGGGCAGCCTTGCAGAAGTCAGAGCGCTGCAGGCGGCCTTCGAAGAAGTGTAGGAGGGCGACTCAGAAACGGTGTGCGTGTTGCTCCCAGGGCAGCCCTTCCGGCCGTCTGCCTCCTCAGAGCCACCTTTTCCCCCTTCCTTTGTAATGGCCAGTCCTCATTGTGTGATTCCTGTCGGAAGGGGAATTTTGGACCTGGGATTTTTCTTTTCCCCCCTGCTGGTTGGTTTGCTTGTCATTCTGTGCTTGCTCATTTAAGTATTTGGAGACGCGTCAGCTGAGTGTAAATCTGTGTGCTATTTATAGTGCCCCTTCATCCAGCTCCACTCCTGTGTCCGTGTGTCTGCTTGTGCATGTGTGTACAAGATGGAGAAGGGATACCAGGAGGGGAGAGCTGCACCCTTGGTAAAGCAGCCTGCAACTGCAGCCCTGACAGTGCTGACAGGTCTCCAAACCCCCAGAAGGTGGAATTTCCAGCCGAGCTTGTCAGGTCACTAAATGCGTATTTTTGTGTGTGCTCCTGGCTCGAGGTGTTCACAGAACTTCTGGGTCAGAAGGGTGGAGACTGCAATGCAATCGGAGGTTACAGCTCATCCTTCTAATCCCAGAGTGTTGCAACCACACTGAGCAAAACAAATTTTAACTGGTACTTTACTGAGGTTTCGGGGGTCGTCTTCTTTTATCCCACATTCCTTTTGAATGACACCCCCAGGAGCTGCTTGGGGCAAATGCACTCTCTTGCTTGCATTTGTGGAATGACGGGTCCAGCCTGTATCTTGGAACCTTGAAGAGCTGGGCTTTGCTTGGAAACATGGCACTAGTCCTCATGAGGGTGGAGGATCATGCCAAGTACGAAGCTGAAGATTAAAAAAACACGACGGACTGCATGCCTGCGGGATTGCGCGTGTGAGTGCGTGAGCAGGGCTCTGAACCAGGTCTTTTGGTTCTGCAGGAAATTGGAGGAGACACGCAGAATGTATCGGCGGATGCAGCATTCAGTTTTTTAAATTCTCAGCTTCGTCTTACACCAGCAAGCAGGCAAGCATGCAAGCAAAAGTTTCTGGATGGATGCATGAGTGACAGCTGCTGAAACCTCGAAAGCCCAAATTGATGTCTCAATCCATCTTCTGTGGAGTTGGGCTTTTGATCACTTGCATAGTTCCTTCCTTGGTGATCAGAAAGTAAATTCTGCAAAATGAATGAATATTGCAGAATTATTTAAGGGCAAAATAAGCCAGCAGAACTAATCAGTTTATTCAAGTGTGTTGCTGTATCTCCTAGATTCTTCCCTATCCCTCCCCTGCTTTTGCCCGGCATAAAGGAGGGCTGTAACCCCGGCTTCATGAGTAGAAGGTTCCAGGTTTGACCCTGGTATCTTCAGAGAGGACCAGCAAAGCACTAGAGGGAGGTCCATGCTGCCATTTGGTCTTGACAATCCTGGCTGTCTCCTAACTGTAGACTAGACTGTAAACCGTGATTTGTATTCCAGATATACAGGCAAACCATAGTTTCTCTGGTTTTCCTCCTTCGCCACTTTTCTCAGGAAACCCTGGATGTAACTGCAGCTGTGAACCCGAATCCCATTTGAAATCATGATTTGCCAGTTTGCCCAAGCTGTGGCTTGCGAGTCAGTATTAAATGCCAGTATCAGATTTGGGTTTGATGATCCCTCACACACTGTGGTTTGCTGCTGCTTGCTTGGATGTTGCTGCAAACCATGGTTCAGTGTTACGTTGGAAAACTCCCAACACAGCACAGCACCCAGTACGATTTGCCACCCCTCTGCTCTTACGGACAAGTGGAAGGAAGTCAGCTGACTGCAAGGGTTAACCAGAGAGAGCCCCCCCCCCGCCCCCAGAGTGCAGTTTTTGACATCAGGTTTCAGCACAATGGCTGTTCATTGACCGCCTTTTCTGTTCCGGAGGAAGAGTTGGCCAGAAAAGCGTTGTTCTGCTTCTTTCCTGAGGGACTCAGAAGCTGTTAAACCAGAAAAGTCTTTCTCTGGACATGAACCAAGTATTCCAAAATGCAGACCAGCCTTCTTGCACATCTCAAGCCAGACCTGGGAATCACTGGTCATTTAAAATAATAGCATTTCCCCCTTCTGTTTACTGTAAAAGAATCCCTCAGCGGTTTGCCTATAAATATTAAGCTCCCATTCAAATTGCATGATTTAAAAAACATTTCCAATTACAATAGCGGCACAGACACCAAGGAGCGGTAAGACGGGAGCGGTGTGATTAATTGCAATCCTTTGCAGGCTAGGGAAAGCCAGAGCAAACAAGTCAGGTTTCCTGGAAGTGCCTGGAACATGCCACATTTTCTGCATTCCCAAACCAGATGAGGGAGGGTTTTCCATAGCTTTGCGAGTGACTTTTCTCAAAAGAGAGCTGAGCTCTGGCAGCGGGTGAGCTGTCTCAGAGTTGCAGTAAGTTACGCCGCGCTGTCTTCTGACTGCTGTGAATGGAAGAGAGGCATGCCGAGGGGGTCTCCGTTTTAAAGAGAGCAGTCTTTTCCCACTGGGGGCCTAGGACTTCTTTGAACCTGGGCTGCAGAAGCTTGGCCCCCAGGAATTCTCCAGAAGGCCACACCCCCTTCCCCTGGCTCCACCCACTCTTTCCCCACTATGGTTGTCCCAGGGTCCCTTGGCATTTGTGCCCCCCCCCCACTATTCTAAATGGATTTATTTATTATTTTTAAAAAACATTTTCTACCATCCACTACCGAGGTCTCAGGATGGTTTGACAGTAAAACAGAATAAAACGATTTTTTTTAATTGTTACATTATCATTATTTATGTATGTAGTTATGTATTCTTTGTGAGCCGCCCCGAGGCTTTGTTGCGATGGGGGCGGCATAGAAATGTTTTAAATCAATAGATAAATGAATAAAACAGACGCAGCATCCTAATTGATTTCTAGCAATAAAATCCATATTAAAACGGATGCAGTGCATTCCCTGAAGCTTAGCTACTGGCAGTAAGAGCTCTAAGCTAAACTGAGGAGTTTTGGGACACACCAAAGCACCGTCCGGTGGATTAGGGCATGGCTGACCGACCGAAAGCAGAAGGCAACCATTAGCGGGGAAACATCGGGATGGCGGCCAGTGACAAGCGGGGTCCCCCAGGGCTCTGTCCTGGGGCCGATCCTGTTTAATCTTTTCATTAATGACATGGAAGAAGGGGTGAACAGTCTGCTGATCAAATTCGCAGACGACACTAAAACTGGAGCAGTGGCCACAACTGAGGAGCAGGTACTCCAGATCCAAAAGGATCTGGACAGACTATGGAAGCAGGCAGGAGACAACAGGATGGCGTTCAATGTGGATAAGTGCAAGGTCTTGCACTTGGGGCATAGGAATAGCTGTCATAAGTACAGGTTAGGTGACAAGTGGCTGGAGAGCAGCACTTGTGAAAGGGACCTCGGGGTGCTGGTTGACTGCAGGCTAAACATGAGCCAGCAGTGTGATGTGGTGGTCAAGAGGGCGAACGCCACCCTTGGTTGCATAGCCAGAAGTGTGGCTTCTAGATCAAGAGAGGTATTACTACCACTCTACACGACTCTGGTGCACCCGCAACTATTGTGTTCAGTTTTGGGCCCCTCATTACAGAAAGGATCTAGCCAGGTTGGAGTCAGTGCAGCGTAGGGCCACAAGGTTGGTGGCCGGTTTGCAGGGGATGCCGTCTGAGGCGAGACTGAGGGAACTGGGTCTCCTCAGCCTGGAGAAGAGGAGACTCAGAGGGGATATGTTGGTGACATACAGGTATGTGAGGGGATGTCACACGGAGTTGGGGAGAGACCGGTTCTCCCCTGCAGAGGAAGGCAGGACGTGCTCCAACGGAGCAAAGCTCAGGGAGCCAAGGTTTCGTTTGGATGCCAGGAAGCACTTCCTGACAGTCAGGACCCCGAGGGTGTGGAATGGGCTTCCTCTGGAGGTCGTTGAGGCCCCATCGGTGCGGGTGTTCAAGGACAGGCTGGTCGTGCACATGGTGGGCACGTCATGAGCGGAACCGGCTGGTGCTGGGGGTCAGACTAGATGGCCCGGGAGACCCCTTCTGACTCGCTCTGTTTTCTATGTTTCTATGTTTCTAAACTATGCTAATAGGTCTGGCCACATGCTTTGCCCCTTCAGCCCCACCCTTAAGAAAAAGATGCCCCTGTTGTAGAAGATTAGCGGAAAGAGTGGTTTCTAGCAGCTGGTGATTCTTGCAGCGTGGCTGGATAAGACCGGACTGGATTATAGTGCCGGCCTCAAGTGGTAGAGCTAGGCTTACATTCCTGCTCATAGCTAAACCTCCTGGTTGACTTGGGCCAGCGTCCTTAAGCCAACCGAGCCCACCTCTCTGACAAAACAGGTGCTACTTTATACCTGTTCTAGGATGCTTTAAAGATCCAGCATACAGCCCTCTGCCTGCGCATGGACTCCTGGGAGCAAAGGACCACCCTTTTGCTCGCCTTGGCGGGTATAGCGAGCCCTGGGGGCTACAAACTTGGGGGTTCCGGGTCCCCACTTTTCCCCAGCTGCAGTTCATGGGAAAGCTGGGACTCGGTTTGGCACTGAGCAGAGGGAGAGGCAGATGCAAATCAACTCGGGCCGTCCCGGAGCTGGGGAGGCCCAGCTCTGCGCTGGCCTGGCAGACAGAGGCCTTCCTGCCTTTCGGCATTGAGCATCACCCCCACGAAAAGAGGATTTTGGTTGCATTTCATCGGAATTTCAGTCATTTCTCCAGTAGCAAAAATATTGGATGGGACAAGGCAGTAACACAACAAATGCTGTTTCGATATTATAGTTGAACGACAAAGCTTTTCTTGAGAAATGATTTAATTCTTGGAAAACGTGGCAATTTTTTAAGCATGGATTTTCTGTTCTGCTTTCCTCAACCCCAAGTTGGCAACTTGGTCCCTTCCACATGTGTGGAGTGTGGCAAGCCAGCGGGGCAGTTGTTGGGGAATATGGGAGTTGTAGTCCTAGGCACCTGGAGGTCATCTGATGGATGGCCTCCCTTTGGGTTAAACATGAAGGGGAGGGGAATGAAACCACTAAAATGCTGGCAAAATGCTGACTTTGGACACAGAAGGGGAGATAATTGTATTACACTTGCATATTTATGGGCTTCTTAGAAGTAGTCACCTGTAGAAAAACAGTATAGTGCATTGTAACTTTGCAAAATGCCCAGTTTGACTGTGATGTTGCAGCTCTTTATTAGGCAAGTAATGCATTTTATGGAACTCGGCTCCTGGGGACTTGTTCCTCACATCTTTTCTGCCCAGGCTTTCCTCAGCCCAAACCTAGGAGTGAGGCTGGTTTAAAAAGACAGACCGGCTGAGAATGCCGGGGTGGTGTGTCCAGGTCCGTGTGAGGCCCTGGCTTCGCTTCAGACTTCAAGGATCGTGTCAGTAGCCTATTAGTCACCGCATGTGACTAAGAGCAAGGCTCGTCTGTCATATTTTCATGGCTTATGCTGTTACATTCTCCACTTCAGCAATTTTAAAAATGGGCAGGAGAAGGATGCCAGTTTGTTTGTTTTTTTTAAAGAATTGCACATCTGCTAAGATGCACTAAAGGACTCCTTTGTTAGGATATCTGCCAAGTTTAGAATCCTGGGAGCGGAAGAAAAGTCAGACACTTGTTCCATCTAGTCCAGCATTGCTAGCACAGACTGGCAGCTTCCCCTCCAGGGCTTTGGGCAGAATCTGTTTTCTAGCCCCACCAGGAGACCCTGGGGCAGTACCTCTGCGTATGTGGCAAGCCCTTCTGCATAGCATGCAGTCTGGTACGGGATCTAGTCCAGAAAACTGCCTACATAGCTCTCCATTGAGCTAGCATGTCAGGTCACCTTTGCTAAGCAGGAAGGTGTGGGGCTGTAGCTGGATGGGTGACCACATGTAGATGCAGAGACGAGGGTTGGACTTGATGACCTTATAGGCCCCTTAAACAGACATACTGGCTCGAACAAACAATGTGGCACTTAGACTGCGTGAAATTGTGCAGCTGGGAAAGCTGAAATTCTGTAAGTTTTAGTAAGCTCGCTTACTAAAGTAAGCTGGCTTAACTTGGTAAGCTATTTTTCTCCTTAGTTAATTCTGCCGTGCTTACTGATTTTTTGCATAATTTTTAAAATTACTGATTATTGGGAAAGGGTGGAGAATGACACAGGCCAACAAGCTGCATCTGTCTTAGCTCTCCTTGTTGCATAAGACGGTTGTCCAGGGTCGATTTTTACAGGAGTTAAACCTTGATGCTTTTGTTTTTCTGATGGTGGTGCTGATGGAAGATATATTAGGGTGTATACAAACAGACCACACATGAGTGCAAGCCCAAGATTTATACATCATTTTTGCACATGAGCAATTAAATCTGTACTACTTGGAAAAAAGCTCAGATTCCTTCTTGCCTGGCATGGCTAAACTATCAGTGGTTAGGGCAGAGGAATGGGTAGAACTTCCAAATGCAAGAGACACAGATTGCAACCATCAAAAAGACGCAAAATTGGTTTTTGTCACTTTAATTGGTCTTGCAAGAGAAAGTGTGCATATAGAGATGGGATGTGAGGGGGAACATCCTCCCAAAATGTAGAAGAAACACCTGCCCCCCCAGATGTTCAAAAACACCAGGAAAAAGGTCCCCCAGTTCCTTATGCCAAATGTACCCTTTTAATTTTCCCCCAGACTGATACATTTCTCTGTCTCCAGTGTGTGTGTGTGTGTGTGTGTGTGTGTGTGAAAGAGAGAGAGAGAGAGTGTTGGGGGGGAGCAGATTTTGTGGCATAATGTCTGAACCCTTTCTAAAAACCAGAGACATTTACCTTGAAGGGGCTGTGTGTAAATTCTTGAAATAAATCTAATTCTCAGAGGGTTACCCTCTTTCGGCCAAAAACTAAACAGAACCAAACCCTGGCAGGTTTATTTCGGACACTTGACCTCTCTCACCTTTCCCTTTGCGGTGGCGCATGGGCTGAGCATCTGTGCCCATGAAAGCAGGCAAGCGCCTGATTCGTTCTTGTTAAATAAGTGTGGGCTAGTAAAACCTGAAACATGCACGCCTTTTGTCTATTATTAGTACATCTGTCTTTATTTTTGTGCCTTGCATATTTATAGTTATGCAAATGTATATTTGCATTTGCACAGAGTAGGCACACAAGTAGGCAGACCACGAAGGCCCAGGTAGCTCTGGATGGTAAACTCAGAGGGGATCTGTTGGCGACATGCAGGTACGTGAGGGGGTGTCACATGGAGATGGGTAGAGACCGGTTCTCCCCTGCAGAGGAAGGCAGGATGCGCTCCAACGGAGCCAAGCTCAGGGAACCCAGGTTCCATTTGGATGCCAGGAAGCACTTCCTGACAGTTGGGACCCCGAGGGTGTGGAATGGGCTTCCACAGGAGGTGGTTGAGGCCCCATCGGTGCGGGTGTTCAAGGATAGGCTGGACGTCCACATGGTGGGCATGTCGTGAGCGGAGCCGGCTGGAGCCGAGGGTCAGACTAGATGGCCTGGGAGGCCCCTTCTGACTCGCTCTGTTTTCTATGTTTCTATGTAACTCAGCTCCTGGTTGGGGACGCTGCACTTCCATGAAAACACAAAACTTCCCCCTCTCTCAAATAGCAGGTTAATGGGGCAGCCCAGGAACACCCAAGACCAAAGTTCCCATCAGTTGAGCAGGAACAGAGATCCCGTCTGGAGCCAGGAACAGTTGCCAGTTACGCAAGAGTTGCCAGTTCGAGCCAGTCCCCTGCTCTGAATGAAGGGCTTGTATAAACCGGGGGAAAGAGCCCGGCGTTGTCCCAGACTGACTCCCTCCCCTCCCCTCCCCTCCCTTCCCTTGGTGGCTGGCTTGCAAAAGGCTGGAGGTGCAGTGCCCTCTGGCGGCCCAAGCCGTCTGGAGGGGGACCACCCCGGCTTGCCGGTTCATGCTCTGGTCACCAGAAGGAGCTCTGGAAATGTGCATTTGGCTGGGACTCTTGCTGCACAGGTCCCCCTCTCCGGGCATTTCCAGACCTGGGCTGGTTTGCAGAAAAAGCACCCAAGTCAATGCTTACAAGGCTGCTTTTGTTCCCTCCCTCCCTCCCTCCATCCATCCGTCCTTGTATTATAGCAATCGCATTCATTCATTCATTCATTCATGGAACTTCTATGCAGCCCCATTCGCCGAAGCCTCGGGGCGACTTTTCAGCTCCCCGAGGCTCTCAAAATGATTTACAGGAGCGTATTGAGCAATGATGGTAAAATTAAAACGTTCAACAGAGTTTGAAAAGCCAGTGGCCTCGTGCCGCTGGACAGTTTTTGCTGCTTGTTTCAAACTCAGCAAGAGATGACCTGACCTCCCCTGGGAAGGGAGTTCTGCCATGGGGGTGCAGCTACCAAAAAGGCCCCGTCTTACGTGCGGTGAATATTGTGTGAGAGGGGAAAGTCTGATAAAGCGCATTGCAAAAGTTTGCTATGCTTGCCTTCTCAGAAGCCAGTCCCAGGATTTCAGTGGACTGGATTTTACTCCCAGGTACAGCTGTATGGATGTGTGAATTTACTGTGACTTGAATGGTACACTCCGTAGCTTGTGTGGAAATGAGTTTGATTATATGCACAGGCTGTTATCTGTCTTAATTTCCTGGTCTTTCCATCACTGAAAGACCACACTGTGGTCTTTACTGGGACTTCCTGGATGGGTTGTGTGACTAGAACAGCAGCTTTTAATTACTTTGTACTAGCGGTAAAGGAATAATCTCCCGCTTCTGAAGTGTTGCTGTGTGTATTTTGGGAAGGGGGAGAGGAATTAACTAGCTGAGGGGCCCGATCCTGGGTCCTTTCCATGAGGAGTTTTGCTTCCTGCTGATCCCAGGCCCATAGCAAACTTAGATCTGTGGGGATTTCTGCAGGCATAACAGGGCTCTCTGTTTTGCCCTGCCCTACTCAATGGGTTCGCCTTTCTCCTAGTAGCAGGTTACTTCCACCCGGTTCAGCATCCTTCCCCTCCAGCCACTGGGGAAACGACTTTGGATTTCTCTGTTCATCCTCCTTACCTTTCCTCTTCCCTCCTCTCTTCCCTTTACAGATCCTAAAGGGTCCTTGGAAAAGCGCAAAGCAGGTAAGAGGGCTGGTGTCCCACCGTAATTGCAGCCCTTCTGGTCCTCCACCCCCAACTTGGTGGATTTCTATGGGGAGGGTTTTCACGCACCTGGCATGCCCACCCAGAGACAATAACCTAGAAGCTGAAATTTGAGCCGTGGTTGGATGGCAGTTTTGGCCACTATCCTGTATCCAGCTTCCCGGCAGCAAGTCCTGCTGACCTCAGGGGGCCTTACCTTTGAGTAGACGCATGGAGAATGATGCTGCTGATTGCATTCTGGGGAGCCCCCCCCCCTTTCTCCAGAGAGACAAAGCTCTCCTGCATCCTTCTCCTTCTGGTGTTGGCCACCATATTGTATTCTCGGAACAACCCTGCGGGGAGAGTCATCGACTGGGAGATGCTGAGCGTGGTGGCTGAGCACACTTTGGTGAGACCTGCCCAGTCTGATGCCGGCCTTCTCCCTGCTCAGCCCCATCCGGGGATTGTGGAGTACAAGTCCCATCAGCCTCCCAGTGATCAGTGGGTAGTTCGCAGCATCTGGTGGGGGACCAACGGGAGGAAGACCCTGGGGTCCTCTTCTCGTTCTCCGCATCTTTGCTAACAAAAATACGTCTCCTCTCCCTTGCAGGGCAGAAGAAGAAAAGGCTGCCCATCTTAAGAATGCCATCAGCCAACAAGCAGCCGTCCGTTCCCCCCACGTAAGAGCTCTTCCGTTCTCGTCGGAACTTCTTAGCATGTTGTGTTTCCCAAGCATGTTTCTTCAAGATGGATTAAGTGATGCATCCAAACCCGATTCATTGAACAACCCGAAATAAGCTTAACAACCATCATCTAATAAACAAACAATGTATAATTACTGTGGTTTGTTTTGTCACCCTTCAAGTAAAGGATGAGGAAGGACACGATGTTATTTTTCCATCCCTGGGGCATGTAACTTGAGCATTAATAAAAAGAGAACCATTCTGCCGAAATAGGTGCCCTGATTAAACTTTGGAAGATCCAGTGTCAGATCCCACATGGAGCTTCACCACTGGTCAAAGAAATCAAAAGAAGTCAATCATTTGATTTCTTCAGCCACATTTGGGAGAATCTGTCTGAGACAATTATTTCTCTTCCTATGGCTGTCCTTCCCCTAATGTACGGAAAATAGCTTGAAAATAACCCGCCCCCATTAGCAAGTGCAATCTAGGTTTCTGAGGGAGTTTCATATCAGCAGGCCAAGCCCAGTCCCCGGCACAAGGACTTAAAACCTCTTGCTTGGATAGCAAAGCTGGGAAATAGATGCTGGACTGATTTGGAGATGTTTATTTCTCTGGGTTTCCCTTGCAGACCCCCAAGAAACTTGGATTCCAGGACTTTTATTACCGTCGGTGAAAAAGTAGGTGGTTCTTTTCCATCACTATTTTGATTTGCTTTTGTTTTACTTCGTACTTCAACAAGAAGAGAATAGAAGCAGGAATTGATTGTGATTGGGGAGGAGTCAGGAACACAGATGGATTTTTAACTCTCTGCTAGACACACCCGTGAACAAAGATCTGTGCACAGGAGTCTTGCTCAGTCCTGTCCCCAAAGTGGCTCCAAAAAATTCACCAGCATTTTCCATGATGTGTGTGTGTCTTTGGTCCTGAGGACTAGAAACTTAGCTGCTCTTGGCTTCTGCAGGAGCTGAACTCGCTGTCTTAGGTTCAGAGCCTTCTCTGTTTGCACAGAGCAATTGTCAACATGCAGAGGTGCGGAGCTGTAGCTGGTTGGAAGAGCAAAACCAACAACGGATGTCGAGGCACCCTGAGACCTCCCGTGCAGTGCAGTGCTTGTAGGAGCGATAAGAACTTTGAAAAGGGAAACGCTGTGGAGAGCCAGCTTCCTTCCCCTTTTTCTTGGGACTTCTCTCCACCCTGAATAAAACCGTGACTTGAAATGTGCAACAGCCAGAGCTCATGGTGTTGTGGGTAGATTAGGAGGGTGGGTGGGTGTGAACCCTTGAGCTGCCCGGGTTCACGTGCCTGGCTTGCCTCCCACACGTCAGACGGAGCATGCGTGACACACCGAGTGGTGCCCGAGTCTCTCCGTGGTGCCACCAGTGGTCTAGTGGAACCAGAACTCGCAGGAACGCAGTAGCAGTGTTAACTTTCTTGGCAGGGTTGCTAGGATCGTTCTACTTCTGTTTCCCCTGAGCTCAGTTGCCGTCCTTGCTCTAGCTGAGCACTGGAAATGAATTTTCCCAGCCACAAAATAATTGCTCATTGTTGCAGTGGGAAGTATTGGTCTCGAATAGGCAATGGAGACCCGTTTGATTTAGGAAGGAGTTGCTCCTCCAGGAACTGGAAACGGCTAGAACGGGCTTGTTGCTATGCTGCTGCTGGCCGGTTTGGACAGTTCTTGCGGGAAAAGTTCTGGAGATGACTGTGAGGAGCACCTGGCTTCAGAATCTACCAGGATACTGCTGCACTTAGCATTGGGCAATACGTACACTTCTGTGGAATGGAGAATTCATAGCTCTGTGTGGCACAGCGCCTTCTTTTCATGACGAAGGGCTCAGGTTAGCCCCCCAACATTTCTGGGGGGGCTTGGAGATCCTGGCGAGCTGGTGCCTGTCCATCCAGGTGTACGCAGCCTCTGAATGTTTTGGGCTCCCAGTGCTTCTCGCCCCCAGAGATGTGTCCAGGAGTCAAAAACTATGACTCCAAAAACTCGAAAACACTCAGCGGCACCTCTGGGTGAGACTGTACTGATCCGGATAGAATAATATTTGGGCTTTTTAGGAGACAGCAAAGCCCGGTTTTCACCTGCAGCAGAACGAGGTGGTGGAGCCCAGAAGTGGTGGAGGGGATGTACCCCTTGGAATCAGAAGCGGAGGTTTAGCACCACAAACGTTTCCCATCGTGTTGGTTCTCTCTCGTCTTCCAACCCACAGAATTTCGAAGTAGAGGCTGACGACTTGGTGAGCATTTCAGAGCTGGGAAGGGGTGCATACGGCGTGGTAGAGAAAGTGCATCATGCACAGAGCGGAACCACGATGGCCGTCAAGGTAATGGTCACCGCAAGGTGCCGGGTTACTCTGGAACAGGGTGTAAGCATGTCTGCCGCAGAAAAGCCAGAGAATCCTTTGAATTGTATCTCCTGTCAACTCTGCTCATTGGTCATGTTCACTGGGGCTGATGGGAGCTGTAGTCCAGTCTACCTGGGGGGAACCTGGCAAATGCTACAGCTACTAACCATCCATCCAATTCACCTTCTGCATTCAGAAGGTTTATTTTTTAAAAAAAATCTTTTGGCCATTAGTAGTAGTAACCGTTCATTATTGCTGCTATAATTTATTACTGCTCCAACAACGCTTAAGCAGGATGGGCCATCTCGGGGGGTTGGGAAGCTGTGCTGCCCCCCCCCTCCAGCTCTCCCCTTCCCCCAGTTGGTTCCTGCCAGTCAGTGTGGTGGATACTTCAGGAGGAAAATGAAAAGCGGAATCGCTCTTCTCGGAAGTGGCTGCTTGCAGATTTTTTGCTCTGGAGGGCAGTTCCACAATGGCATCAACCCTTGAGCAGAAAAGCTGCCCTGGGTCTCTACACACAGCGTGCCAACGGGAATAAAGAGGGGTCACGGCGAGCATTTCTGCCCGTCGGGAGCGGAAGATGGCTTTTGGGGTGATGCAGCCGGTCCGGAGCGCTTGAATTTCTCACGGCACGCTTTCCTTCTCCCCAGAGAATCCGAGCCACTGTGAACACGCAGGAGCAGAAGCGGCTCCTGATGGACCTGGATATCTCCATGAGGACAGTCGACTGCTTCTATACCGTCACGTTCTATGGAGCCCTTTTCAGGGAGGTGAGCGAGCGGCAGGAAAATACTTGGCACACCTGTCTGCCCCTCTCACTGCATCACAGCTGAGTTCTTCACATCGGACACTGCAACCTCCTCCGTCCGTGTGAAGTGGAAGGTGTGGCGGTGTCTTTACAGTGGTGGCTCCAAGCCTCTGCACCCCTTTCCCCTGTAAGGCAGGCTTATCTTCAGAAAGGGCGCTGTTCCGGCTGGCATTTGACCCTTCAGTTTAGGCATGTCGGCATCTTTCAAGGCTGTGTTTCGGTAGTCACTTGCTGCACTTCGAAAGCTAAGTTGGAGCGTCCAAGCATGCAACCAGCAAAGGTGGATTTAGAGCAGCTCTCCCAGCATTGTTGTACCACAGCACCCATCATCCTGGATGGGGATGATGGGAGCAAGAGCTGAGGAAACCAGGTCAGGAAAGCTTCCCTGGGGATTTCTTGTTTGTGCTTGTCTTCTATCGTCTTGGCACTGGGGGTCTTAAGTGCAGCCTTCCTGGATGGACAGACCGAGGGCTGTCACTGTGGCCCTAAATTCTGGTTAGCCAAAATCTTCCTACCTGATTCTGACCTGGCAGACAGGTAAAATCAAATCTTGTGTGTAGGCTTCATGGCTCATTTTCTGCTTCCATAATGGTGGCCCATTGGAATGTCCAGATTGAACTTTCCCTCTGTGTTAGACATTTAAAGTAGCCTTCCCCTTCCAGACACATTGTGACTGCAACACCCAGAATTCCTAGTCAGTAGTCCTGCTTTGCTGGGAATTCTGGGACTTGTGGTCCAAATCCTCTGACGGCCGCCAGGTTGGGGAAGGCTGTTCGGAAGGAATCGGATTAAAAAATTAAAGTCTCTCTTGTCCTCGGTCCGCAGGGTGATGTGTGGATCTGCATGGAGCTGATGGATACGTCTTTGGACAAATTTTATAAGAAGGTCTTGGAAAAGAAGAAGACTATTCCTGAAGATATACTTGGGAAGATCACTGTGTCTGTGAGTGATGCCTTTGCTTGGGGGAAGGAAGAGCCCCTGAGGGTCAGAAGACCAACTCAAGGGCCCCAGTCAGTCCACCGTGGCTGCCTCTCCTTGAATCGGGAGCTGAAAGGCGTTCGGTACCCATCTACTCCAAAACTAACCGGCATCGTCTCTTTCTCGTGCTCTCTCTAGATCGTGCATGCGCTGGAGCATTTGCACAGTAAGCTGTCCGTGATTCACAGAGGTACGTGTTGTGTGTTAATTGTCGGTGCATTGTACGTGTGGTAATGGCCAAAGAAACGAGAGGGCCAGTCCCTCGGGCACCTATGGCTGAACCAGAGCAGGGCTGGGGGAAGACCTCCCTGCCACCAGAGGGAGCCACTGCTGGTCACAGTCCTGGGCTTGGTGGGCCATGAGTCCATCAGCTCCTGAGAGGTCTGCAAAACCTTCCATTTGAAAATGAAATTTTCATTTTAAAATTTCGTTTTATTTATTTGAAAAAAATCCAAATAAATAAATAAATACCTCATTCCACTATGCATTTTGGAGCTACTAAGTAATTACCTCTCTTACTTATTAATTTGATTGCTGTGCTGCCCAGCATCCGAAGCGCTCTGAGTAGTTCACAGCAGCATATTTAAAAAGCAATATAATATGCACCAATTAAAACATTGTAGAAGATGGCTATAAAATGTAAAACCAAAGTAACATAAAGTTTCATACTAAAGAAGACCCAGTTAAACCTGTGTAACAACCAGCAGGCCCCAGTGGCTAAAATGCCCTGCAGTGGAGGATAGTCTTGACCTGGCACCAAAAGGGTAGTAAAGTTGGCACCAGGCAGGCCTTAGTGGGCAGCTCATTCCCTAGCCGGGGCCACCACGAGAAAAGCTCTTGTTGCTGCCATTCCAGCCCCCCTTGGCCATAGCAACTGGAGAAAGGCCACAGAACTTGATCGTAGTCTGACGGTACTTTGTGTGTTCGTTGCATGATTTAGACTTGAATAATGTCTTCAGCAAATAAGTTGATACACACCGCTGACCGGAACTCCTTACATAGCTTGATTAAATAGGTTGGAAGCCCAATTTTCAAGAATACATGTGAGATATAAATATATTGAATAAATACCTTTGAAACTACCAAAAGTCACAGGAAGCTATGCTGGACATATAGGAGCCCTCCTCAGAATCCTTTGGTTTCCAGAGCTTTCCTTGGTGCACTAATGAGGACTAGGAACCTGAAAGGTGATAAAAACATTTGTGCAGGGCTGTCGTTTTTACAAAGCTGCAGTACTGACTCTGCCAAAGTTTGGGTCCAACTTGGTGATTCTTCTGTCCTGGTGAGTAACCTCCTGTGACTGTAGTCTGATACACAAAGTTGGGCTTGAGTTGCGGCCAGCTGTGCTTTGGAAATGGGTTAAATAGGGATGCAGCGTCTCCTGTAATGGGACAGACTTTCCCAGCTGATCCAAAGAAGGCCCCGTGCATTAACTTCCTGTGTTTTTCTCTGCATCCTTCCAGACGTGAAGCCCTCCAACGTCCTCATCAACAAACAGGGGCATGTTAAAATGTGTGACTTCGGGATCAGTGGTTACTTGGTGGATTCAGTGGCCAAGACCATGGACGCCGGCTGCAAACCTTACATGGCGGTGAGTCCCCATTTCTTCATTGATTTTTAAGCCTTCCTTTTTCTCTTACAAAGAACTCAGAGGGGCTTACATCATTTTCCTCCTGCTCTTAGTCTTACCCTCACAACAACCCTGTGAGTTAGGCTGGGCTGAGAGTCTGTGGCTGGCCCAAAGTCACCGCGTGGCTCAGCAGGGACTAGATCCTGGATCGTGTGGATCCCAGACACGTGCTCTTAACTGGTACACCACCCCAGCTCCCAGTGAGTTTTCCACTGATTGGTGGGAGCGTCATTCCCTTTTTTCCAAGCTTCACCCCATCTCCATTCTTTCGGCGCTCGTTTTTGTCCTCAACAGAGCCAATCCTTTCGAGCAGGATAATTGGGAAGGGGTTCTTGATTGGCCTGACCCAACCAGACAGTCCTGAAACTTTCAGCTTCTTGGTTGACATTTTAAGAGCGTCGAAAGGGCAGGGCGGATGGAAAGTCCAGCATGGCACCAAAATGACAAGCAAAGAGCCCCCTTGACAAACACTTCTGGGCGTGGGGCACATCTGAATGTACAAACCTTCATGGCCTGTAGTCCCAGGAATGCCCACTCTCCCCCTACTTTGCTGTCGTCAGCCGGTTTCCCAGCTTTTTGCAGTTTTCCTCCCATTCCGAATGATTGAAATGGCTCCACTAAAGCTTTGCTACTGCTGGTAAGAGATTTAGGCTGAAATAGGTTTGTCTTTTGGCTCCACCCATCTGCCTTTGGCTCCACCCATGATTGAAATCTCCCCCCCCCCCCCCAAAAAAAGAGTTTCTCTGAAATGGAATTCAGCACTTGGGTTGAAAGAGTTTCAGTCTTTCTGGTGTACCTGGTTTTCCTATTTCTTCACAACAGCCCAACGAGGTAGGCTGGTTTGGATGGATTGAGAGGGAGAGACCCTGGCCTTGTGGTCACCCACTGAATTTCATGGCAGAGTGGCGGATTTGAACACGGCTCTCCCTATTTGTGGTCCAGCCGTTGTGCCATGCTGGCATCTCTGAAAGCTTTTCTTCTTTCCCTTCCCTTTTCAGCCAGAGAGGATAAACCCAGAGCTGAACCAGAACGGGTACAATGTAAAATCCGATGTTTGGAGCCTCGGGATCACTCTGGTAAGAAACCCCATGGGTGTTTCGTGGTTGTTAAAAAGACGGACGGCCACCAAAGGTTAAAGCTGGTTCTGTTAGCGGGCTGAATCTTGGTTCGTGAAGATGGAGACCTGCGGCCGTAGTGGTGTGAAGCACAATAGAACAATCCAGCTGCAAATATATAAACAGAGCTGACACAAGGACTGATCCAACAGCAGTGTGACCTGGACACCCAAGAGTTGCTGCCCCAAATGCCTGGGAGCGGAGGAAGGTCTTTGGCACCAGGGCAAACTTGCTGGAGAGTTTGTTCCAAAACAGGGAGGCCCCCACCAAGAAGCCCCCGTTCCTGCTGCTGCCTCCCTCTCAGACATATGGACCACAGCATGTGGCTGGTTTGAACCTGGAGCCTTCTGCATGCAGAGTCGGTGGTCTGCTGTCCAGGTGGACCGTGGGCCTCCCTGGCAAGTCCTTGTTTTAACACGACGTGCTGTCTGTCCGTCTTCCGTTGTCAGATTGAGATGGCCATCCTGCGTTTCCCCTACGAGTCCTGGGGAACCCCCTTCCAGCAGCTAAAGCAGGTCGTCGAGGAGCCCTCACCCCAGTTGCCAGCCGACCGCTTCTCAAAGGACTTTGTGGACTTCACGGCACAGTGGTAAGCGCGACCCCGCCAGCCTCTTCCTTTCCCTGTAGAACACTCCGTTCCTCCTCCAACTGCCAAAGCTTCAAAACTCTGCGTGCCCTTCCTTGCCTCCCAGCCACCAAAACAACATCGGGGTTTCCTGTTTTGTTTTCTCCCTGGGTTTTTTTGTTCCGTGGAATGATGCTTTCCCCGCCTTGAATTGCTTCCCTAACCTGGGCAAATTGTTTGAGAGTGAGGGAACTGCTAGACAACGGAAGAAAGCAGAATTGTGACCCTTCCTAACAATTCACATCTTCACCATACGCAGACCCTGCTCAATGTTTTCCTCTGGTGAAGTGGGTAGCAAAGGGTAGCAGGGCCTTTTTGGTGGTGGTACCTCGACTGTCAGTTTTTTTCTCAATATGTCCTCCCTGTTGATTTTTTTATAAAAAGCTTTCAGGGACAAGGTCAGCTATCTGGAAAGCTATTCAACATGCCCTGTGACTGACTTAAGCTGTATTTAATGTTGCCCCTGATAAATAGGGAAAGTTTTCCTAATGTTTATTTATTTCATGTGTATACCAGCCAATAACCAAGGTTCTCTGGGTGGTTAAAATGCATCCCAACAGTTGACCAGAGCGAGCAGAAGAGTCGGGCCTCCTTTCCCCAGCCAGCTCGTTTGCCCTGGCTTTGTTTTAACATTGGCAGGTATAATGATGGACTTTTGGTGACTTTTCTTTCTCTTCCCCTAGTTTGCGGAAGAATCCTGCTGAACGAATGAGCTACTTGGAACTCATGGTGAGTTCCCGTCTTCTCGGATCCTTTTTGTGCAGTGTGTGTGTGTGTGTGTGTGTGTGTGAGAGAGAGAGAGAGAGAGAGAGAGAGAGAGAGAGAGAGAGAGAGAGAGAGAGAGAGAGGTGCTGAAATCAAGGCACTTGAGTAGAAGATGCCAAGCCGTCTTTGCATCTTCACACCCCTTGCCGCCTTCCTTCTAACCACATCCCCTTAAGATCCGTAATTAATCCTGGGTCGAAGGAAGCCATCCCTGTAACCACAAAGCATAAGGAAAAAGGACCAGTTAACCTGCTTTATCATCATTGCATTGCATTTATATCCTGCTTTTTCCCTCTTGCGAGCAACCCACAGTCCTCCTGCGCCCCTTCTGCACAACAACCCTGTGAGGTGGGTTAGGCTGAGAGTCCGTGACTGACCCCAGGTCACCCTTCATGGCAGAACGCAGACCTGCTGAGTCCCAGTCCAGCACCGCAGCAGCATGCTGGTACTGGCTGGGGAAGGCTGCTTGAAAAGGAAAGTTTGCAAAATTGGAAATCAGTCCAGCAGCTGGAAGACTGTGTTTGATTCTTGACCTCCGGTTCTGAACTGGGTCCTGGCTTCGCTGGGAGTTTCCTCCCTTCTAGCTTTTTGTTTTTGCTGGCTGCTTTTTGCACAAGACACAACCCCCCCCCCCATCTCCCCTCCCACCTAACCCTGCACTGTTCCGTTTGCTTCTTTCCAACAGGCCCACCCCTTCTTCACCCTCCACGACACCAAAGTGACTGATATGGTCTCCTTCGTAACAGAAATCCTCGGAGACGACTCTTAAATTTCGCAGACCTCGCTGTCGAACAAAGCGTCACCAGCGCGGAGCGCTTCTCCCGAGGAGAGAAGGAAATAAGGAACACGTTTAGCATTAACGGTGGTTTGCACAAAATGGAATGAATGTCTTCGTCGCATCCTCCCCAAACCAATTTTTTCGGCATCACGTCGGACTTGTGCGATTTATTAATATTATTATTAATATTTTAGGGACTCTGTGAACAACACCTTTCTGCATGGAGGAGCGTTGCTCCAGAGTGGAGACAAAAATGCTCAAATCGGCAGCAAAGACTCCCTTCTTGACGGGAGCTTCAGGAGTACACTGTGTCTCTTCTGAAGCGGGTTGCCCAAAACGGCGGGCCCTTCTGAACGCAGCCGTGTGCTTCCTCGGGGGTACGCCGCACCCACTCAGAAATTGCAGATCCAGCCGCACCGCAGTGTCCAGATGCCACTGGCCCGGGTTAACTGAAGCGCCCGTCCAAATTTGGTGGTGCAGTCCTACCAGCAAAGGGTTGTGGTTTTTTCTTTAACCAAAGCCAAAACGTGCTTCTCTGTGTAAACGCTTCTTGCACGGGGAAAACCAGCCCTAGATGGGTCAGGCTCGATTAGAACCATTCTTTTTAATGGTGTGTAAAACTTTTCTATGGTCCTTTTTTTAATGTGGGGGACGTTGCATTGCATTAGGCAGTTCCCCTTTTCTGCACCCTTCGATCCAGGCAGGATTCGGCCCATGATTTTCTAGAATACGTCACCTGTTCTTAGGGGATGGATACAGGTAGGTCACCTCCTCAGCTAGATGCTGGAGACAGATCTTGGGGTCCTGGCTGGGTGGGTTGAGAATTGTAGTCTAAGAATTGTAGTCTGGAGGGCTCCAGCTTGGAAAGGCTGCCCCATCAGATAATCACTGACGGATGTCGGTGCCCTGTTCGTTGGCTTTGCACGTACATTTCCAGGAGAATCTGCGTCTGCGAGGGATGCGTGACCCACTCACGTAAGAGCCGAGTTGCTTGGTGGTTCAGACCCGTGTTCACCTTGGCTGCGTGTCCTCAGCACGGTTCCCGCCAGATGCTCTCTGACCATGCTGGTTGAGGCTGTGTGGGAATCGCCGTCTGGGAGCGGCTGAGGTGGCCGCCTCCATCCTCTTCTCCAGCATCCACAGGTTGCCAGGTGCCTCCAGAACAGGGATGGGGAACCTTTGGCCTGCAGGCCTAATGTAGGCCAGTGGAGGTCGTCCAGCCGGCCCACGGAGCCTCTTGGATTCTTCTGAGGGGAAGGGGCTGTCACAGGGATGTTTGCTCAGTTGTGCCATTTATCTGATAAGAAGCTGCTCCCCCCCCCCCCCAGCTCAGTGTCACCTGGTCTGGGATCTCTCCCTCCCACAGTCCTAGGTAGAAACGCTGGCAATCAAGTCCTTTTGGGATGCAAAGCTGCTCTTCTGCCTTTCTGAATGACTGTCTCTGCCGAAGACGCATCTCAAATGCATTTGGTACTATTTCCTAAATTTGGAATCTCTTGGATGAATCTTTTTTCCTGCCCACCCAGTCCAACATCCAAGGGCCGTAGAAATCTGCTGCTGGGAACTCCCCACACAAAGCAAGCAAATGATCTATATTTTTATTTCCTTTCTAATAGAAATGTAAATATAAATTATATTTTGACAATTCAGTTATGCCTAGCTGGGAGTAGGCTTGGCAAATCAGCCTGCAATGTATGCAGAACATTTCGGACATTTGTAAAACAAAACAATTTATTTTTTAAGAAGGCCTGTGGAGTAGCTGCATGTCAGGCGTGTATATTTTTCTGTGTATAAAACACCCCATTGTTTCATCTTTTTTTTTTTTAATCTTTTCTAAAGACGTCCCCTTGGATGCTTACCTGTTGCCTTAGTCTTCAAAGGTGGGCAGTGAAAAGTTCTAAGCCTGAAGTTTTGTTGTTCGCTGGTGAGAGTGGAATTTGCAACCGTCGGGCCAGCGTGTCTAGTCTGCCCTTCTGGGATTCACGCTTCCCTTAAACATCGGTGGTTGGGTAATTTCCTGTCTCTCCTGGGTTCTCCCATCCCAGAATGAAAGATCTGCAGTGCTTCTACCAAGGTTTAGTAGGTGCCCATAAGAGCTTTGAGCTAGAAGACGGTCATACGACGGCGGTGTCCTCCTTCCTTTCTTTTTTGCCACCCATGGAGACAACCCTCAGAGCTCCGCTGAAATGGAACCCACCCCCTGCCCTTGGGTTGGTCACCTCCACTCTGGTGGGGGCTGCACCACAGCTCCCATCAGCCCCATCCAGTGTGGCGGGAATTTCAGCCTCAGCATCTTCTCAAGGGCCACCGTCTTCTGTGTCCTTGGAAAAAATGGCCCCTCCAAGCGGACAAGTGGCCCCCCTGGCCTGGGCAGAAGCTGTGCATTTGCCATCTCGTCTCTGTGCCAGTCAACCCCCTAAGTTAGGCATACGTTGTATGAAGAACTGCTCTCTGCTGCCTGTCCTGAGAACCCCACTTTCTCAGATTTTAACGCTCTTGTTTTAATTGTTAACTATGAATTGCTCTTAAATCCTGTCCTCCGTTTTCTGTGTGTCGTGTTCAAGCAAACCACTGCACTTTCTCATGAAGCATAAATTGCAGCTGAGGCTGCACACCTGTATAATGTTCAGTACTGTCTATTTTGAATGGTGTGGTTGTGGCTTGAAAGTTTTTTCTCCCCCCGTCCTTCCCCAGTTTTCTTTCATGCTTTGGTGGATTGTTAATTTTTTAACTGCATGGTCTTGGATTTTAGCCTTTCTTCACCCCCCCCACCCACCTTCAATAAAAATTTGATTTGGAAAGATTAAGACTCTGTATTGAACCCAGCAAATGAAACGGCCGAAGAGGTGCATGAGCTGGTTCCTTGTGGGTTCCTGCATTCAGAGCCGATCTTTATTCGGAGAGCCTGACTGATTCTCACGTACCTGCAGAGCTGTTTCTCTCTGCCTCTTGTCTTCACTCCTTCCCTAACAGCAGTTCCCAGCGGAGATGAAGATGGCTTGTTTCTAGGAATGGAACACAGGTGCTTTTGAGATTGGGGGGTCCATCTATATTCCTAGCTTGATCATGTTTAATAAAATATTTATTTATTTATTTAGAGTTTCTGTATGCCGTCCCATCGCATAGCCTCGGGACGGCTTGCATAAAATAAACACAATGCAAATAAAATCCAGATTCACCCTGGCTGCAAATTAAAACCTATGATATTAAAAGTTATTAAAATATTGTTTAAAGAAAAAGATCTTAGCCTGGCGCTGAAAAACAAATGACGGCGCCAAGCGGACCTCTCTGGGGAGCGCATTCCATAGGCAGGGCGCCACCGCAGAGAATAAGCCCGGAACACAGTTTCCTACAGGGCTTTCTTGAAAGCTTGGGGTTTAAATACGTTTACATTGATGTGGGCTCCTGTTCTGAATCCATGGTTCCTGCCAGTAAGGCTCAAGCCTTGTTGCTGGATTCTCCTCTCCCAGCTAGGAGGGGAGAATAACACAGGTAAGAGGAATATTCTGTTCCTTCAGTGATTTTGGTAATGACAACTTGGCTGAGCTTGACCTTCAGCGGAGTATCTGGCTCCTTCAAAAAATTTGAAGTTTTTCTGGGCCTGCACGGTATCCTATGAAGAATATTAAACATGCAAATAGTACAGGTTTTTTCTTGTTTTCTATCTAAAACCAGTCATGGAAACTTCTTGACTTCCTCCCAAATGCCCAAGGGAATGTAAAAGTCGTCTGTCCAGCAAGGAATTTAAGGAAGAATACATCTGACCTTTGCATGAATGTATGTTCCAGAGTTGTGTATTAACTAAAAGTAGTCCCAAAGGGGAGAGGCTGTGAGCAAACTGGTTGCAATGGAGAGTGGAAGGAGAAACGGTCCAGAGGATGGGACCTCCATGGAGCCATGGGTCTTTTCGGGTGCTGGCTACGTCGACCTTTAATCGGCACTGTGCTTCGAACCTGCCCAAGGTGCGTGGCCAAAGCACAGGTTCCATGCTTGTTCCGACCTGGAAGTTGGCGGATGCTTTGGTTTTCCCTTTTCGGGGGGGAAATGTCCAGCTAGAGCATTCCAAGAGGCGGTTTCCCAGACCGTAGGTAGCTGGGGGTTGTGTGGTCGGGCATCTGCCAAGGGCCACATCCTAGCGAGGGCCCCATGCAGGTTTTTCACCCTTGAGGTCTGCTTGCCTGCCTGCCTCGTCTTGTCCCTGATGCCAGAGACAACTGAGCTCTGCCACTCAAGTGCTTGAGATGGGGAGGAAGAGGAGGGATGAGGGGTGCGGCGGGGAACGACAGGTGAGAAGGCAGGCCAAAGAGCTCAAGGGCAACCTTCAAGCACCTGAGCCAGCGCCAAGAGCAATTCACCCGCCCCTGTTGGAAATGTGTCAAGAAGTTTCTCCGAAGGCTAACTCGTCTACCTCCTTGCAAATTCAGCCCACGAGATGTAGCCTCGTCCCGTAGGGCAGGAACAAAGAGGCCCCTTCTGAGTGCGGGGCATCGGGTGTTTTGACGCACGCTGTCACGCCGTTGCGCTTTGCGCCTTCTGAATTAGGCGCTGGACTTTCCGCTGGTCTTTGATTCATAGCAGCAGAGCGACAAAAGGGGGAAACGGGGGATTTATTTTTAAACACTTCTGGTTTTGTGCTTGGTACTTGCAAGGTTCTCATTGCTGAGCAGCCTAAGTCACACTCGCCGCTACGGAAGGAAGTCACATTTGCTGTTCTTGTGATACAATCTGCTGATTTCCCAGTGCTTCTGGTTCACATGGTGTCCGGGCTGGTATGAACTAGATTTATTATTAGATCAACCACAGACGAAGACATGCAAGGAGCAAAACTCACCTTCCTGGAGCTCAGCTCCGCTCTTTGGGGTTGCCCAAACTGCCTGCCCACATCCGACCTGCCTCATCTGCCACTTGGAAGCTTCTGTTTTTTGTGCCAGTTTCTTCCCATGCTGCTTCTATGGATCTGTTGTTATATAAATACAATCACATTTATATTCCACTTTTTTTGTCTTGTAAGAAAGCCACAACAGATTACACGATCCTCCTATTTTATCCTCACAACAACCCTGTGAGGCGGGTTAGACTGAGAATCAGCAACTGGTCCTCAGTCACCCAATGAACTTTACTCAAGTGAGGTCAGAAGTGTTGCGTCTCAGGCCAGTGCTCTAACCACTAGGCTGTACTGTGCAAGCTTTAAGCTCAGATAGGCTAGTAGTTAAGCCCAGCTGCATCTGCTTTGGCTGCACCTGCTGTGGGAATGTGTCCCCCCCAGTGGCCACTCCAAAAACGGAATTTGGCTATCGGGCTGAGAGCCAGCAACACTGCCAAGATAAATATTTAAAGAAGACGATTGCAGAAACAAATGTATTGCGAAATACTTCTGCACCAACATCTAGTAAGGGGGAAAATATTTCTCCAACCCACTAGAAACATTTTAAAACATAGATGGATTGTATGGATTCCAAAAGCACTTCTGCCCTATTTATCTTTCTTGTATTGTTATCATAGGACTCGATCTCTCTAACATGGTGGTGAACTATCATATTATTTGCACATAATCCGAGCAAATTTCCCCGTACTAATTGGAATTCATCTAAGGTGTCACAAGATGGTCGTTTATTGAGTAGGCAGAAACACCCTCAGGGAAATTCCACTTATTACGTGCCGGAGGGCAACCCTATGAAGGAAAGCACTCCAAGGTGGCTCCTGGTCAGCTCTTCAAAACTAAGGCTGTGGCTTGCGGGACGGCGGGAGTCAGGCCATCCCGTTGGGTCTTCTTTTTCTCCGCCTGCCTTCGGCTCTCGCAGCCACGAAGGTTTTCTCCAGGCAGCCTTGGCTTCTAGCGATGTGCAGCAACGCCAGTTCCATCATTTTTGCTTCCAGGGGGAAGCTCTGCTTTGATTTGTCCGGGGACCCACCTGTCTGTCTGGTTGGTCCATGGTACCCTGTTTCCCTGAAAACAAGGCCTCACCGCAACATAAGCCCTAGCATGATTTTTCAGGATGCTCCTAATAAAAGCCCTACCCCCAAAATGAGCCCCAGTTAAGATGGTCAGCCAGACCGATGCATTTAGTACGTCCGTTGCAACACAATTCAGGGTTTGGAGAGTAATGACGATGTTCCAGAAGAAGATGGCATGACTGTATTTGAATAAATGTGCATTTGTGTACATGAATAAATGTAGATTGTTGAAAAATAAGAAAATGTTGATTGAATGTTTTCAAGAAACATGAAAAAATAAGACATAAAAAATGAGCCCTACTGCATCTTTTAGAGCAAAAATTAATATAAGACCCGGTCTTATTTTCGGGGAAATACGGTATTTGCAAATCTGGAAAGGGCAGTATTGCTCCCATCAGCCACGGCAACAAATTTCCTGTATTGCTGAAGCCGCAGCTGCGAAGGTGCTTTTTTTCTCCGAAGCTCTGATCTAACTGAAAAGAGATTTAACTTTCCCAACATTCACCTGGAGCACAAACGCAACCACTGGGTGGAGGTGTTGGCTCACTTTTGCCCTGTACTTTGTGCTGTAAAGTAAAGTTTTCTCTTTTTAAATGATTTATTCACTGCGATTGGGTATCCGTCTCTCTAAGGTAAGGAAGGCACTCTGCCTGTTGCTCTCTCATTTCGTATCTTCACAACAACCCCAAGAGGTAGATCAGAAAGAAGGAGAGTGTAATTTAGGATGGGACACGTGAGTCTGGAGTTACTTGGCTCTCCCACCCAAGTCAATTAGAACTACAGTTCCCAAAATTCCTCTGGAAGAAGAAATGGTCGTTAAGTCAGCTTAGTCGGCTGCGTGTAACACATTTTGAACAGGGGAAGTCATGCCACATTGGCAAAATTAATTTGCTTGCTTTCCTTTTCAAGCCCATTGAGCAACCATCTGTAAGTACATTTTTGGGGAGTGAGTTTTGCAAGTTAACTATGCATGAAGTGACCTTATTCTGTGCTTTTCCCAATTAATGCGTGAACCAAAAATCAGTTATCCTTGGTAAGTCACACTTTGCATTTTTCAATGCGTTTTTCCAACTTTCTTTTTAAAATAAGAAGTGCATGTGTCGGGGAAAGTGCACACGAATATGTAACACTGAAGATAAAATGCATTATATTGATGAAGGTTCTTAGAACTTAACTGTGTGTGTCAGGAAACGCTAGGGTGCATTCATTTTTAATGGAGTGTTTGGGATTAATTAGTCATATGCTTGGAAAAATAAGAAACTGACCTCTGCAAAGACAAATTGCTGGCTTGCCACCTCTGGGCCAGCTGTGACTGGTGTAGCTTGGACGTTCTGGACCTGGTCTTAAATGTCTTATAGGCACCCTATTCAGATGGCTATGGGAATTCACTTGAATCGGAAGCAGACCTCTTGCCTTCCCTTTCTGTAGGCAATTCCTGCTCGAGGACCACTTCTGTAACAACAAAATCGTTCTCCAACTCTGATTCAAAAAATAACTGCATGGGCAGCTTTACCTTTGAAACACATAAAATCACAGTCCCGTTGTGACTGCAGGAATAAAACAGTGCTTATTTCTGCTCCTCTTCCTGTCTGGGTGGACACTTGGGAAACCCCTTAGCTATGGCCCCAAAGCCCCCCTGATGTGATGCTATTGCCAACAGTGGCTTCTGCTTTCCGGATTCGCTTCGCTCCTGCTTCTGCTTTGCCGAGGCCACATGGGACAGAACAAGGGCCGTTGTTTGCTTTGACACAAGTGGCCCGTTGTCGCTGTAGGAAGGGAAGGTTTGGGTCGGAGGGGGTTGCAGACGTAAGCCATTGTGTTCCCCAAACAAATGGGTTATTGGAAG